CTATAGGTCAAATCCATGCAATAATGCACGGACAAACAATAATATGCGAGAATTATTAGTACCACTAGTGCAAAATAAGCATTCTATAACTAACATTTAATATGGGTTGACTTACAACCGTTATAGTATATTGACGCGGGGTCTTATTTACAATTATTGAAAGTTTCATCTTATTAAACGGGGCAAATTTATGAATTAAAAAACATATCAATAACGGTTTTGAAATATAACCGATATAGAAAGTAAAACGGGGTCATATTCATAAATCTTAAAAAGTTTGATTCAAAACAGATATCATTTTTAATTAAAAAAGATGTACTTTCCATGTCTGTTCGAAACCTAACCCTTATAGAAGGTGTTTAATTTTTTTCTACCCCTGCGGCACTTGAGATGGGGAGAACGTAAAACATACTCCGTAAGACTTAGGTTCATCTTAACAAGACAAAACCCCATTTTCACATCTCCGCCCATCGCCCGTCGACTGATGTAGGGTTTCACGCAGAGAGGAAGCTTCCCAAGTCCGGACGACGCAGCTCCCCCATTTTCACATCTCAGCGATTAGCACACCTCTGCCGGCCGTTTCTTGATTTGGGTGTTTCATCTCCTTCGGACCTTCGCTCGGCGCTCGGGACTCAGTTTTCCAACCGGTAATTATCTTATCTTACATACTCTATATTTATTTAGTTTTTCTATTCCTAATCGAAGCATGTAAATGTTTCTCTGGGATTTGTGCAATCGCATTTCATTTGTGAATATTCTGGTTATGGATGTTTTGTTTTTCATGTATTGTGACATAATTGAACCATTTCATTTGTTTTTTAGTTCCAGATCCTAATAATTAATCTGTTTGGCGTTTTTGTTTTCTTTTTTTGGACGCCACTTCTTTGGCGTTTTTGTGTTCTGTTTTTTGGAAGCTTGGGTCTTTTTTTGGGATGTCATGGGTCTGGTTTTGTTGGCTTTGTTTGGACGTAGCAGTGGTCTGGAAAGGGATTGTTTGCAATTGCATTGTTTGCAATTTTCTGCTTTGGATCATTATGTGTTTTCAGGCCTGCAATTGCCTGCTAGTCATTATCTGTTTACAACTGAAGCTTGAATAATTTTATTTCTATGGTTTTAGTTTCCTAATGACTATTAAGAGTTTGTAAAAAATGTCTCAAATAAAATCTGAAACGAATTTTAACATAAGTGTCATGATATCACAAAGATATTTTACTTCATTTTGTTTCTATCTATTTTGATATTGCTGAAACTGTTTACGTATATTATACACTAGCTAAATGCTTTTTTCAACAAATTTCACTAGTACAAAATAAGCATTCTATAACTAACATTTAATATGGGTTGGTTTAGAACCGTCATAGTATGATCACATGGGGTCTAAATCATAATTAATAAAAGTTTCATCTCATAGGACGGGGCAAATTTATAAAATAAAAGTTTCTTCTAGCTTCTGCTTATTGTTTCATTTTTCATTATCTCATCTATTAAATATTATTCAGTTAGTTATAAATGATTTTTTTAAAACCAGTTTTGCAAGTATACTAAAATAAAAATACTTGAGTGGTCATTCCACCGCATTTGTGGCTGTTTTAGTCCCTCCTTGTCAGCCCTTTAACAATTTCCAGCAGCCGCGGAATGGGGGGCAAGCGGATGCTGGTCCCCGTTGTCCGGTGTTTATGGTGTATATATAGCTGGGGTTGAGACTTGAGACTCTTTAAGGATTTATAATTATAAACCACAGAAGAGATGGTAGAGCTGTTATTCAGTATATACCAGCTATGCATGTTCTGCTGCAATTGGTATTTAAATTTCCGCAGCTGGCCTAATATACTACTCCATATAATAATGATGTTAAGATGAAATATATATTGATGAAATATATATGTTTTCCTATCATATAAGTAAACCCTTTTAAAAAAACAAACAAACCCTAAGCAACTTTTTTAGCATCTTCTAACTATATGGATTCGTGTACTGATACTCAAACATGATCCCGAACTTAGCGGAATATGTTTTGAACTAATGTATTTCCTTAATAAAAACATTCTGGTTTGATTTGAATAGTTCAGAATTCCATTTAAACGACTTAACATGTTTTTGAGTGCATTTTTTAATCATAGGGCTAATGCATGCTGATCAAAGGGAATTTTGAGTTATTAAACTTAAAGAACAATTTAACCTTCCTAGATTTACTCAAGGAAAATGTGATGTTTTTCTAAAACAGAGCTTTAATAGAAGATGAACTCCAAATAACTACTACAAAGTATAAACAAAAGCAAACATTTGAGCAAATTAAAGCAATTAGTACTGATTGCACTCTAAGTTATATTCTAATGACAAATATGAGTAGGCGTACCTGGTTGGAGCTAGAACAGAGGAAGAGATATGAAGTTTGATAAACAAATAACTGGCTGGGAATTGGGATGCTACTTTGGGTGCATGTATGTTACCTACCGACATGGGAGTCCAGCCCCCACAACCTTAACTATTCACCATTATCTTTACAATTATGTACGACTTGAAGAAGTTGTTTTAACAATGTCAGATAGATGTTTGTTAAAAAAACGAAATAGTTATAATTAATACTCTGTCTGCACATAACCAACCGCATATGCACCAACCTGCACACCAAATCTGTCATTGTATGAATACATGTGAAAAGTGTGAAATCACCTATGAAAACCTATGGATTTATAACGTCTAGTAAAATTATTGCTATAAACCGTATGATTTGTTGGCCTATCAACTGTATATCAATGCTATAAATTCTATAATGTATACATTTGTAATATACTAAATATACTCTGTATAAATTTCCTTGACAAAGTAACATAACTAATTGCATTTCATATTCATACATATTTATTCAAATTCACTTTATATTTTTTTATCCTACAATATTAAGTTACTTTTAATGATAACAATTATTTTCATTTAAAGAAATAAAAAAATATATAAAGAATAAATTGAATTTTAAATATTTATTTTCAAAATTTACATTTTATAGTTACTAATAAAACTAACTTTTGAATCACACTTAAAATAGGAGAAGAACTTAAATATATGAATTGAGATTTTCAAATTAAAGAAATCAAATCATACTGATAAAGTATAATATAATAAGTAAATTGTGAGTGCATTTAGTGTAGTTTTATTTCTTTTAAAAAAAAGTAAATTGTTAGTGCATATACATTGTGTGATTCTTCTAAATAAATATAAATCATACAGAGTATTTATCTATACTTTTATATTCTCCACAAAAATATGGGATTAGTATTTCCTAATGCATATTAAAAAGTAATTATTGGATTAACTAGAAGTAAGTATATAATAATGATTTGGCACATTGTATGCTCCCGAAAAGTTTTTATTTTCATATAATTAATCCGTTCTTTGTTATCTACAACACTTCCATTTTCACTATTGTCAACACGCTACTTTGATTATTAATATATATAATTCGCTATAAGTAAAAAAATAAAAATAAAATGAGAATTTGGAAATTTAAATTGACACGAGTTGAACAATAATTTTAAAAAATGTCTAAAACATTAATTAATAAAATATAGTCAAAGTAGAACATGTGATTGGTGTAAAAAGCAACACATTGAAATTATACAGGAACAGAGATAGTATATATATTGATGTTGTGTCATTCTATTTCAATAAATAGAATTGTACGAGCACATTAAGATCTACTCCCCCCGTCCCTTAAAACTTTGCCAAGTTTAACCGGCACAGGGATTAATAAGGTAAAAACGGTGTGATTGAGTTTTGTGCAGAGAAGATGGAATTAACTGGAACCACAAATTCCTTACTTAAAGGGGAAAGTGGCAAAATTAGTGAAACATCCAAGAAAAAAGTTGGCAAAGTTTTAAAGAACCGAGGGAGTAACATTTTGTAGAAAATGCAGGGTGCAAATAATTATTGGTCATACATTAAATAAAATTCATCCATGTCTTCTACATATATACTTTTAAAGCTAATTTTAACTCATCATTTGATATCATATTTCCATAAATATTGTTGTACTACCTTTAATATTCATCAAGGAAGTGCGAAGGCAAAACTGTTGCACGCCGCGTCTTTGATTTTATGGGATGAAGCTATGATGATTCACGAGGTTTGTTTTAAGGTTTTGGATCTTACACCAAGAAACATCATGAGTAATTACATGCTATCGTTGATCGATGGTCTATGAGTTACATATATTAGTTCAATTAATATTATTCCTTCGCTCACATGTACTATCTTCGCTCACATATTATTCAATGGCTGAATTGCTCAACCATGTCATCCATTTGAATATCGGAGCCCCAATAATGTTATTGAGTAATATTAGTCATGCATAAGTTTTATTCAATAGAACGTGATTTGGTCATAACGAGTTTCGAAAAGCAAGTAGATATGAGAAGTCATGTTATTGATAAAGTTTACATATTGAGAATTTCATTTTCACCATATGACAACTTTATTCAATTTCGGAAGAAAGCAAATATACTGCGATGGTAAACTATGCAATGACAATCAATAAAAGTCAAAGCTTAATGTCATCACATAAAGTTTGATTTATACATTAATAGATAAGTTTCATTAATGACTAATTGTGCATCGCAATACCAAGAGTAATGAGTAAATAAATTTTAAAAGTCATACTTTCCGCAAATTTCTTAACTCGTGTAATGTTTAGTGTGTGCAGTGTTAGGATGTTTTCTTTTGGACTGTTTTCAGTCCCAAACCAGACTTAAACAGACCAGACCAGACCAGACCAGCAAATTTTAGTCCCAAAAAAAACATCCTTACTACGTACTCCCTCCGTCCCTTATAACTTTGCCAACTTTCCTTTTTTGGATGTCCCATTAACTTTGACACTTTCCCATTTAAGTAAAGAATTTGTGGATCCAATTAATTCTATATTCTCTGCACAAAATTCAACTACACAGTTTTTACTTTATTAATCCATGTGCCAATCAAACTTGGCAAAGTTATTAGGGACAAATGGAGTGCTTTATTAGGGAGTATATGAAAGAGGATCGATCGATGGATCACTATTCATTAGTCGTCCGGGTTTACACAGTCTGAATCTGCGGGTGCACGCAAACCCTAAAACCCAATTCGGGCGAGGACTGATGAATCTGCGAGTGTTGTAATCATGAAGCATGCACTCTCCTCTTACGCCAACAACATCACTCTCTTCATCCGTACAACGGCTTCTCAGACCCGCCATTTCTCTTCATCACCCGCCACTCTTTCTGCTACCTCGGCATCTTCAGATGTGTCGGCCACAACCCAACCCTTTAGTGGCAATTTGAAGGTCAATTTCGCTATTCATCTTTCCTTTCATTTTTCATTCTGCTCACAAAGACGCAAGTTGTTTGTTACACTTATTCTTTTGATTTGAACATTTTCCGCCCATGGTTATCGAACCACAAATCAAAAAACGACTTATATTTTACCGATTGCTGTTCTACAAGATTTCCAGACACTGACCAGAACATTTGTTGCTACAGAAAGCACTTGCTGGCATAAGACGAATAGATCTGGAAGGCTTGAGGTGGAGGGTATTTGATGCCAAAGGCCAGGTTGGGATGTGGCTGTATCTAGTGATGGTGTACTTCAATGAAAAATGTTGTTTACTGATGTCTGTTCCCGTCCAGGTTCTAGGGAGGCTCGCAGCTCAGATATCAACAGTGGTTCAAGGAAAAGATAAGCCAACTTACTCACCTCAGTGGGACCAAGGGGATATGTGCATTGTGATCAATGCAAAAGATGTTTGTGTGACGGGAAGGAAACTCACTGATAAGTTTTACCGATGGCACACTGGGCAAGTAGCAATCTTTTTTGTCTTTCTCTGTTGTATTACTTCCTGTTTGGTATTGCCTAAAACTGCTCAAGTGGAAGTGTACTTGTGTCTCTTGGAATTTCAATAAAACAGCTTCATCTGATGTATTGTTGCTGGTGTTTGAGTGTGGAACTTTATGTCTGAATGATCCATGTTGATACCTCAAGTCCTTAACTGTTTGCTTTTGTAGGTATATTGGGCACCTGAAGGAGAGGAGTTTGAAGGACCAACTAGCAAAGGACCCCACGGAAGTCATCCGGAAAGCAGTTCTTCGTATGCTTCCAAGAAACAAATTACGTGATGTAAGCCTTTCTCATACAGAATAATGTATAATTTGTTCTTGATCCTTAATTGCTAACAAAACAGCGTTGTAAGAAGGGAATAGCTGCAATGGTATCCCGTCGACCTCTTTTATGTTCTACACACAAATAACATACCTGCTTATATGCTCTCCAATTTCTCTTTAGGGTCCATATTGAATGAATAGTTTTGCAGGTCTTTAGAGGATTAAATATACATCTTGCTATTTATTTGAGTTTTGGTAAAATTGAAGGAATAATGTAATAGGTTATAGGGAGAAGGGCCAAAAATGACACTATGGTTTTTAATGAATCTCGGATAGGACACCGGGGTTTAAAGTGGACCAAAAAAACACAAATTCAAACCTTGCCCTTTACTTTTAACCACCCTCTAACTCTTCCGTCCATCGACCGTTTCCCCCAAAACTAAAACGCACCTTTCCCTGTGTTTAAACACAGAGCCCCCAATTTGCAACCCTAAGTAACATTTGTTGGACTGTAAGTCGCACTCGGCTGAGAAGATTATTCAAAAAATCTCTCTGGCACGAGCGCGTTCAACCAACCAGTCAGCGGTCACCCATGACCCACCCGCCAGATTTGTAAAGGATCCGAATAACGCAAGCCATGACCAAGAAGAAGTGTTTGAGTAGCCGCAGTCCCAATAAACAGAAGTTTGCTGCCTTTGACTTCGCTGAAGAAGACGAGCGTGTAGAAATGGAAGCAAAGATAGCAGTCTCAAAATTCCAAAAACAAAAGCAAAGCCCCCAGAAACATCACTCCCCCATTTCCAAGTTCACTTTCCTAAGTTCATGTAGGCTTGGTTTATTTTTCCCCTTATTTTAAAGCACATTATTTCCTTATAATCACTTGTGACTTTCAAAATTGACCCCGACTGATTTCGTCAGTGCTATGCATGGGCTTACATGGTTTGAGATGCACTGGCTGGTCCGAGTCTTGATAGCATCATGTTGTTTTCTGAATATGAAGTCTAGTGTTGTTAATTTCTAGCATTGTGTGTTTAGGTAATATACCTTAAACAATGTTGTGACATTTACTTGTTGTTTCTTAGTTACTAGAGGAGAAAGGAATACGAAAAACGAGATTGGAAATGAAGTTGTTGATATTGAATCTTCTCATGGTCACACGGATGATGAGATCATCAAGTGTGATAGAGTAAGTCAAAAGAAGAGACCATCATCTGTGGAATAATGCAGGGGTGTTTTAGTTTGGGGGTAACGGTCGTTTAACGGGAGAGTTAGAGGGTGGTTAAAAGTAAAGGGAAAGGTTTTAATTTGTGTTTTTTTGGTCCACTTTAAACCTCAATGTCCTATCCGAGATTCATTAAAAACCAGTGTCATTTTTGGCCCTTCTCCCTAGGTTATATCACAAACGTTTCAAGCATCCTTTATTTGTTCCGAGAAACGTTCAAGCTATCAAGTGGCATCATCCAAACTGAACTTTTCACTATGTGGGGATTTTCTACTCCCAAGGAAAGAAAAATATTTCAGGAAAACAAGGAGGGAGAAAGAAGAAAATACCGTAATTTTTAATTTTACCGTGACTATATGAATTAACAAATAGCTTATCATGATAAGATTAAAAAAAAAAACTTATCATGATAAGATTAAAATAGTATATGAAAAGGAAACTTTATGCATAACTTTCAAACTGTGATGGGGAGAATGGAGAGAGTAAAACCACACTTGGTTTCTCTTCATTCCCCACTAGACAGTCAGTTGTTTCAGTGAAAGTAACATGATGTGTTTTACAATTTCTTCAAATGAAGACTATTGGGTGTAGCAATGATCATATTTCATTTGATGTGTGCTTACTTGATGTTGTTGTCGTCCGATTACTAGGACCGAGACCGCAAACTGAGAATATTTGCGGGCAGCGAGCATCCCTTTGGTGACCGACCTCTAGAGCGCTATGTGATGCCACCTCGGCAGGTCCGTGAAATGCGGCCCCGTGCCAGGCGGGCCATGATTCGAGCTCAAAAGAAGGCCGAACAACAGCAACATGGATCTATAGATTCAAAGAGAGGCAAAAAGAGAGAGGTGGTGGAAGCCGAGAGCTATGCATAAGATTGGAGCTAGCCGATCCTACACTGCCTTGGAACATGAAAGTCATTCCTCATTATTATATATTTATATTCAAACTTCATCGCTTTTAAATTTACAAGTAAAAAAAAACGTTTTCATCATAATTGATAAATGATGTTTGTCAATATATTCCTTCGCTCTAGTTCTGATCTGGGCATTTATTTAAAGGTAACGACAAACATAAAAAGAGGAATTGAAAGTCAGTTGCAACCTATGGGTGAATAGGTGAAAACCCCAAGTATTATTGTTTTAATACTGTACAACCCAAGTACTGGGAGTAGCCGAGTAGGGGTGGGCACAAAATACCGTAACCGTCTAACCGAGTAAAGAAACCGAAAAACCGGTGTTTTTTCGGTTAATCGGGTTTGCGGTACGGTTATTATGTCTTGAATTTATCTTCCAATCGGTTAACCGATAACCAAAAGGAGTATCTATTTTCAAATAATTGACCCTAGCCAAATACTATGCAAGTACTACCGAGTAATTCAAAAGCTTGATAAAAACTACGTAGTATATACGTAGTACTAAATTTACTTTTCATATCTATTTACCTTTTCTAAATAATAAAATTATGGCCATAGCTAAATATCTCCCAAGCCATAGCTAAAGTTAAAAGCCTCGAGCGATTCTACTGTAGATGTTGGAAAAATTGATGATACGAAAGCAGTTGCATCAGTGAATACGAACCGTATTTGAACTAACTACATAGTCTGTATAACACTAAAGTCGCTAATAAAAAAAAGAATCTATTCTGGGGAAACAAAAAGAAAACTTGGCACGTTTATAGTCTGAAAAGCTTGGAAGTATTTATATTTTAACCTGGAACAACAGATTCATTTTTGTGAAATAAATCAGACCTTTCCTAACTTGGCACGTTTATTGTTTCCTCTGTTATGGTTATTTGGTTAATGTTTAGTGGTTAATTGAAATTTCGGTTAACCAATATTGGGTTAACCGATTTCATGGTACGTGAAACGACATTAACCATATCATAACTGAAATCACGGTTAACCGAATATTGGTTAACCGAAATCCGGTTAACCGACCGTGCCCACTCCTAATTGGGAGGATACCAAGTGGGCATATTCACCCCTTGGGTGGGAAAGTCACTGAGAACGCGCATTCACTCGGTGGCAAGAGGGATTATAAATTTTGAGAAAAAAGGTCAACTAAGCTCATCTACTATTTCGAATTTGTCACTTAAGCCCTTGTACTAAAAAACATCATATATGTACGTCTACTTTACAAAATTGATCAATTTGACCATTTAATAAGTTCTTGACCTGTAATAGCAGGTTTTTAATATTTAAAAACTCTAAAAAATTGTTAAAATTTGAAGAACTATATACAAAAATTGTTGAAATTTTAAGAATACCAAAGTCAATATTTTTAAATTTTTAAAAATATTTATACATTCTACATCTATTTAAAAGGTTTATAAATTTTAAATTTTTTATTTTTTATTTTCACTTAATTTTTTTCAGTTGATGAGTTATAATTTATTTTATTTTAACGTTTTTAAAAATTTGTCTATTTTTACATGTATACATTTTATACTATTATTATATTATTTAGTCAAATTTATATGAATTTTTGTAACATTTGCCAATATTCCTAATTTAGTTTTAAAAAAACTTACCTGCAGTAGTAGGTCAAATGGCTTGATTGATTTCATTTTAAAAGTATATGTACTTACATGATACTTTTTTAGTACATGAACTTAAATGATGGATTCAAAATAGTGGGACTTATTTGACCATTTTTCCTAAATTTTGTACCACAAATTACTAGTGGTAATATTCGAGAAAAACTAAAAAAATTGAATCATAAATTTTGAATATGATGAAGTTCAGATAGAATAAATTTCACTTTTGGTCTTATGAGTACGCAACAATCCTACAATTGGTCTATATTTTTTTTTTTACCATTTTTAGTTTATGATTATTGTGTTTTCGTAAATATATGGTTCTTCTATTAATGTTTCTGGTGGTTAAATCGCTGAAAAAGCTCATAAATGGTCAACAAACATTAATCAAGTATTAAAATACGACAAAGTGAAATATGTGAACTAAAAGCGAAGTTAACATAAAATTCACGGGCCCTAAAGGGGAGTTAATTCATTTTAGATATATCAAAGTAGATATTAAAATAGATTTTACTCTGAATTTAACAAACTGTAGGTGTATCCACGATTTATAATCTTTAAGTAATATTCTCTCCATCCTTTATAAATTTGCCAAAGTTGATCTGCACGTAAGACAATGAAGTAATAATTGTCTGATTGAGATTTGTGCAGATGAGAGATAAATTACAAACTCATTTCGTTGTCCCAAGGAGCACTTTGAAGTGGAATCGGTTCTGTAGGTGTTTGGATCTAATTAGAAAAGTTCTATTAAAATGAGTGTAGAATCAGTTTTGTAGAAGCTGGGTAGTACCAGACTACCGGTTTCTAAAAGTCAACTTCTGATTCTAAGAAATTATATTCCTAAAATAACTCGTCATCTCTCGCATCCCTCACACAACACAAATCATCGATCCAACACTCCAACAGTCCAACCTAGGGCATTCATTCATCTCTCCCTCAAGAGCTTCTCTTCTCCAACCATCATCTCTGGGCGACGCAACCGTTTAGGCCGGCGCTTGGCTTCTCCAGCGAGGGCTTCTTCAACCATCATCTTTGGGCGACACAAACTTTTGGCTCGACGTTTGGCTTCAATTCCAAGGTATACTCTAAACTTGTGAGTTTGTTGATTTGCTCTTTTATGTGATTATTATTTCAATTATTGTGTTGGTCTTCGATTTTTTTGCAAATAATTTCTTTGAGTTAGTCATAAGCATATGGTTTTCATCATTAAATGATTTAAGAGATAGATCCCCCGACTCAGGCGATCCTTCTTCTTCTGAGCCTGCAGCTCCTCTTCAAAAACATCTCCGACAACTCCTTGACAGTAACGCTGAGCGGAGAGCATGAAACGCGTTGATTTCTCATACCCAGAGGACAGAGGTGTCGAGCTACCAGGCGGGGCAGGGGCCTCTGTATGCACAGGAGGAGCGGTGGTGGAGCTGGTAGCGTCCCCAGGGACTAGAGGGGAGGCAGGGGTAACAGTGAGGCTGTAATCCTGGAACGCGTCCAGTTTGCAAAGTGCTGCATCTGGAGCGTCTTGGAGCTCTTTCTTCTCTTTAGCTGCGGCCTCATCCCTTAGACGAGCTGCCCCTTGAACCACCTTCAGAGCGATGTCGGCTTTTGTTTTGCCTGGAGGGCGTCCTGCTTGCGAGCCGCTTCAGACTGCAGTAGGGACAACCCAGCCTACAAGGGGAGAAGAAGATTATGAGGAGACGCGCGGTCGACATGAGTTTGCATGAACTAGAAGAGTAAACATAACATACTTGGAGGGCAAGTGTCAAAGCAGTGTTGACAGCCTGAGAAGAGGATCGGGGTGGCAACTGCACTGCCGTTTGAAGAGCAATCTCCCTCCAAATTTCGATGGGGAGCGGCCACAGAGCCGGAGGGCTCAGGCCGACACCTTTTTGCCCATTTTTCCTTTGTTTCACTCCCGCCATGAGGATGCACAATGTTCAGGGGCTCCGCATCCTGAGCAGAGCCAGATTCAACGACAGGGGCCTCAGAGCCCTGGCCCATCACGGCCGTAATCAACTGCTGTTCAGCCTCCTCCTTACGTTTATCAGCCTGGGGGGCATTGGAGGAATTGGCATCGGAGGACTGTGCAGCCTTGGCCCTCTCAGCGGTCGCCTTAAGTTTGGCGTTTTGGCCCTCCTTTGTTGAAGAAGCTCGTCCTGATTCATTTGTTCTGACGTAGGGGGAAGTCCTGAAACAAAGAAATATAAATGTCAGAACCAGGCGTTATGAACCTCAAGGACGCTTACCTTAGGAGCAGGACCACTCGAGATCTCGAGACAAGCGTAAAGGAAGAATTACACTCCAGAAAACGCAGGCGGTACCTATCTCTGCATCGGTAAGCGCCTTGGGAGTAAGGTAATCCTTCAACGGCTCGAGCCCGCCCGTCTTCACTTTCTTAATGGCTTTTTCTAAGTCATCAGTCATTTCTGGTGGACCTATCTTTGGGGGGTATCCGTTCCACCTCACGAGAAGTTGGTCGTCCGGATGACGGAGGAAGAAAAATCGGTTCTTTTAATCATGAATCGAGGTCGGCACCCCAGAGAATAGCTTCTGACCAGGACGAGTGGCTACACTCAGGAACCCATCCGAGTTTTGGGGGGTAACCCGGAAGAAATAATGAAACAGGTCCGGGCTCGGATCCACCTTCCTAGCTTTGCACCGGGCGATAAACGCCGAAATGAACCGGTACGAGTTCGGCATAAACTGAGCGGGAGCGACCTCGAAGCATCGGAAGAAGTCGATATAGAACTGAGGGAGGGGGAAGCGCAGTCCGGCTTTGACGGAATCCATGTGAACCATGATCATCCCCAGGCGTCGCCTCAGCAGATTTTCCGCTCCATGAAGGCTATAAACGAACGGCGGGGTAGGAGGATCTTTAGTTCTTTAAGGGCTAAGTGGGAGAAAGACTGCTCCATCCCAGCTACGTTGTGCAGAAGCACGATGTGGCGTTGGACGTTCGTCGGGATGCCCAGATCATAGACCTGCCGATCGTCACCGTCAGTGGCCTCTGCCCCTGAGTCATAGCCCTCAGGACGGTCCTCTTCATTCCCTTCTTGGGTTGCATCCCCCTGTGCGGCATCTTCAAGGGGGACGTCCATACCAACATCCTCTGGGCGGCGTTCCCCTATACAACATCTTCCGGCACAACGTCCGCCGTGATACCTTCTTGAATTACAACGGCCCGTCGGCCCCATCCGCACCATCAGCCACAATAGTTCTGACCGTAGAAGAAGTCCCGGAACTGCCAGAGGTACTTGTTTCCCCCGAGGAATGAGAACTAGAACCAGACCCAGGAGAAGAACTAGAACTCGAGAAAATCTCCACCGAACACACCATGAAAAGAACGAAAAAAGTTGAAAAGAGGAAGGGTCAAAAATCAAATTACCTTACAAGTTTAGGGAAAGCAGAGAGCACTGGGAACAGAACTCTGGTAGAACGGCGAAAGCTTGAGAACAAAGAGCAGAAATTCAGAAACCCTAAGCCCATCACGGGGCTAGGTATTTATAGAGGGTCACACCGCTTCAAAGGGAGAATAAGGTGACGGCACGTGGCGGGGAGCGTATCCAATGGCACACGTCACACAGAGGTCAACAGATGCCTCATGATGATTTTCCTCGAAAGTTGCACCGTTTCTGCGGTGACCGCTACCTAGGGTTCCGCGAACCGCCATCAATAAGCAACTGTCACATCAGGAACATCTTCAAAGTCCATCTCGACGGAGACGCTTTTACTTCCTTGTGTCCCGCGCACGCTCGAAACATCAGAAATGGGGGATTTGTGTTGGGTTAATGGCCCAACCAAGGGGTCGGCCCA